AGGGATGTTTGGGGGCGGGAAGAGCAAGATAACACCGAAAAAGAGGGCCCCACCTCCACCTTCCCTGTTATTCTGGTTCTCTGATGGGATTCCTTGCGGACGGGTTCTAAGAGAAGCTGTAGAGGAACGTGCTGTGGCTGCGTCTGTTCCAGCATCATCGTTTTAAAAAAGTGGTGGGATGACTAGTGACAGTCCAGCTCCCCCTGTTCCCCAAAGCACTTCGTTCGTCCAACTACCAAGCCCTTATACCCCTGAATTGCATGTTTGTGTATCCAGCTCTCCCATTTCATTAAGGGCAAGAAAGTGTCTTTATCTTTGCTATCCCTGAGTCCACTACATAGCCTGATACATGGTGGGAGCCCAGAATAGGTTTGATGATGAATTAATACTTTTAATCTCCCAAAGAATGGGAGACAACCTAGTCAATCGTTTTGGGGTTTTAATCAACAATTACATTCAAACATGCCTTGGCTTACCTCCCCTCTCCTCCACACACACATCCCAAAGTAAAACTGGAAATTCCAGGTGTCTATCTTGGGGGGGGCAGTGGGGGAGGACGGGAGTGGGTTGGAAGGACTAGGCTTGGCTACAGAGATAGCAGATGGTAGATGGAGATGGCAGGAGTGTTGTAGATATTGGTTAGTTGTTGATAAAGTTTAAACGGATATGTTCGAAAGTTATTGGTAACCATCAGAGCTGGCATAGAAATAAAACTTCCATATCACTAGAGAAAAAAATGTCAATATTATCATAGATGGAAAAGGAAAAAATAGGAAAGCACATAAAAATAATTGCTGACAAGTTCAAACATAAAATATTTTAAAAATAAGAATTATATATATATATTTAAAAGATACACAATGTAAATAGAGACACACCAAACTAAGTGACAAAAGTTAAAAAAATAAAGGGAGAGGAGAAAATAATATATCAGGCAATAATAATAAAAGAAAACATTGTAACCATGTAAACATTGTACAAATAGAAATAAACACAGATAGTTGAAGTCAGATCAAGAGAAGAGTACTTCATAAAATATAAAATTCATCAACAAAATTTTCTAAGTTAATCAGGATAATGCAACTCCAAATACAATTTGAACATCAGGAATAACTATAAATTATTATTCTTCTAAATGTAGAAGTAAACAAACTTTCAACCCAAACGAAAGAACTAGAAAGTGAATGAATACTGTCATCATTGTTCCGGGAAAACATGATCATGGTACCTGCACAGGGAGATGTCTGACACCTGCTTAGCTTTAGTCAGAGATATTTAACAGATTGTGACCAGTTTTTAGTTACTACACTTAAAAAGTCTATGTAGATATTGCAAAGAATACAAAATACAGTGGGCATAAAAAATGAGATAGCGAACAGGTCCTGTAAGACTGATTCTATTCAACCTGGAGAATGGAGAACTAATATTCTCCTCAAAAGGAGAAGATGTCCTGTTAAAACTATGTCAGAAGATTTTCAGTTCAGAGATGTGTGAGTTGCAACAACCCACACAAAATATGAAATCTGTTAAGATCACATTTCAGTAAAACAAGAGCTCTATCATGAAAAAACAAAAACAACTCATTCATTTACCTGGGAGTCAGGCACTATTCTAGGCACTTGGAAGGAAACAAAACAAAGTCCTATCTTTGAGAATCTTACATTCTATTGGGGAAGGCAGAAACTAAACCAATGAATATAGACATAGTCAAATGATAAGCACTGAGAAAAATAAAGCAGGATGAATATGGTTTCCATTTTATATAAACAGGATATTAGAGAAGCCTTACATTTGAAAAGAGACCTGAAGGCTACCTGGCGGAAAGAGAAAGTGCAAATGTTCTGAGGTAAGAGTGTACTTAAGAACAAGGCCAGCAGAGCCTGGAGTAGAGGGAGAGAGAGAGAAGAAATGAGGCCAGAGAGGCAAACAGAATAACAAAGTGGGATCATGTACAACGGCATAGGTTATTTTAAGTACTCTGAGATAGGAGCTGTTGGAGTTTCAACAGAGGATCACTCTGACTGCTGCACTGAGAACAAACTATGGGGAAAAAGAGCAGGAGATGGACCAGTTAGGAGACTATTTTAGTGATCAGATGATATGATGGTGGCTTATTCTAGGGTAGTAACAAGACGTGAAAATTGTGACATATGATTGGATTTCAAGTATGTCATAAGATACAAAACTGACAAAATTTGCCAATGAATTTGATAGAGGATGTAAGGAAAGAGAGTGTTAAGGAAGATACCAGAGTTGGTTCTAAGCAACCAGAAGAATGGTGTCACTATTTCTGGAGATGGATTAGGAGGGGTAGGAACCAGAGATTCAGCTTTGGACATGTTAGGTTTAAGATGCCTATAAGACATCTAAATGGAGATGTCAAATAAGTGGGTAGATATATGAGTCTGCAGTTCAGGAAAAAAGATCTGGACTGGAGATAGTAATTGGGAGCTTTTAATTGATTATGAGGTGACAAGTTGGACAAATTATATAGGGTCTTCAGGACTTTAAAAAATTTCCTAGGGAGTGAATGTAGACTAAAAGAGGTCCCATGATTGAGCCCTGGACACCTCAACATTTAGAGATAAGACAAAGAAGGAGGAACCAGAAAAGAGGCTGGAGATGGGCCAGCATCTTGGTAAGGACAACCAGAAAGTATGTAGTACCCCAGAAGCTAAGTGAAGAAAATATTTCAAGGAGAGAATAACAAACTGTCAGATGCTGTTGACATGTCAAGTAAGATGAGGACTGATATATTTAGCAGGATAGAGGTCATCAGTGACCTTAATAAAAGATATTTTGTCATGGCAGCAAAAACTTGGAGTGAGTTTGAGAGACTGGGGTCAAAAAAACTATTTGTAAAAATTCATTTTAAGACTGTTGGCTAACTGTGATCACTAATTGGACATTAGTAAGGAATTAATTTTTAAAGGCATGATGTTTTAAAAGAGCCCTTATCTCTTGAGTTAAAAATAAAAGGATATGATGTCTGGGATTTATTTTAACTTAATCCTTTGGAGGTGCAGAGAGAAAGCAGGGGTGGGGTAGAAAGCATAGATGAAATGAATTGGTCTTATTTATGTTGACAATTATTGAAGCTGGCTGCTGCATACATGTTGGCTCACAATACTACTCTCCTTTTGGTTTGGAAATGTCCATAATAAAAAGTAAAGAGAGGAGAGAGAGGAAATTGGAAACAGCTGATGCTTTATAATGAATTTTTAAAAAATAATTTTATAGATGATATAGACTTGTCCTGTCTTTGAAAAACTAAATCTGAAATCCATTTTAACTGGCAGGTCTGTTTAAAGAATGAATGAGATGCCAACTCTGAAAACAGTGAATAACTTTCAGAATAACTGAGATTGACATACCTTAGAGTAAAATATTAGACCAGGATTTCCAGCTTTATTATCCTATGGTTTTGATTTCCCTGACTTTTGGACCAGATCCTACTTGTATCTGAATACAGATCACATCGTACAGCTGTAAAGCAGCAGCTACTGCTCACCACTAGAGGGACCCTCTGACCACTCAAGTGCACATCAAGTGCACCTGCCCGCCAGTTGCCCGAGTATATCCAGCAACAGGGTAAGGGTAGCAGTAAGATAATTTTTTGCCTAAAACACGTTCAGATTCAATTTCTTTTAGGGAAGAAGTCCCCTTACCCAGCCTAATGGAGGGCTGAGCCTGTGGCTTAACCTCAAGGTAAAAACTTTTAAGAATCCCCAATTCTTCCTTCAATCCAATTACTTGTTCAATCATAATAATTTTACTCTGTTCCCTCCCTTCCTCTCCAAGTGGTTATCAACATCATCCTAGACGCACATCACCTCAAACCTAAATTATTATAGTCTAATCACTTTTTTGTATCCACTTTGATAGGACTTAGTCAACAGACTAGCCTCAGAATTATTTTTTGATCATGTCCTACTTAGGGACAAAAACATACTATGCTTCCTCATTGCCTACAGTTTAAAATAAAAATCTCTCAGCCTAGAGGTCAGGGCTTCCAGTGCTGCTTCTACCTACACTTATCCCAGTATCCTCATTCGGGTCTCCCTCCACCATTGCTCTCACCGCGGTCTCTTCCTTGTACTCTGAACAGATGATTCTTAAACCTGTAGGCCCTTGTGCTGAAGAAAAACCTTCCCAACACTTCCAGCCCACATGACCTCTGATTTTCTTCCACCTTTATATTCTGTATCACTCTTTCAGAGAACTGAAATCCTTAACTGTATCATTAATCTAATGTGCTATTTTTGCATGCATGTACGTGTGTGCTCCTCCTGGACACTGTGAACTCTTAGAAGGATGGTTACTTCTTTTGAAATGCCTGCCCCATGCATTGCTCATTGGCTACTACGTAAATATCTGTAGAATGACCTTAACAAGACAGGGAATAGCAGTGTGGAAAAGAGCAATATTTAATTAACTTGCTTCTCTCCAAAGCTCCCCTACCCACACACCTTAGAGCAATCCTCAGTTTTTGTCTAGTTTCCCAACTCAGTAAAATAGCCTAAGCTCAACCTCACGGAGAGAAACACAGAGCTGAGGGAAGCAGTCTTCATGCCTCCCTAAGAGTGACATCTTAGGGCCAGGTCAAGGGAAAGAAAGGGAGGGAATCCTAGGACCAAGCAATCTCAAGCTTGTTTTTCCCACTGTACCCCTCCTTTCCTCCTAAACCTGAGTAAGATTTGGAGCTTTGGATCCCCAAATCCCTCAATCAAAGTGGGTTGCAACCTAGGCAACAGAACTACATTAATTTCCTTCCTATTCATTCATAGTTTTTCCTTGTGAAGTTTCAGTTGTTAAGATGGAAGGGGTGGCTGGAAGGTGAATGAAGCCATTTCTCTTAGCCTGAGTTAGACCGAACTGGAGTAAGGAAAACTGGAAAGGATGCATTTGTTCATGGCAATGTGAACAAAACTGAGCCTGGGTGATGGGGTAGGAGGGTGGAGCAGATGGTATATGAAAAAGAACCAAGAAGAAACAAGAGGTCTAAATAACTGATGAAAGTTTAATACATTAAAACCAGATATTTATCACTTTTATATTGTATTTGCCATTTCCGAACAATACAAAGTAGAGGCAAATAGTGACACTTCATAAAAATGTTGATTCCCCGTCCCCTTCCCTAAGACCCAGCCTCCCTCAAATATTCCCTCCCACCCCCTACAGAACTCTGTCCTGAATAAAACACTTAAATACATCATAAATAGTAAATTATGAAAAAAATAGCAAGAATTGTTTCTTTCCTTCTTGTAAAAAAGAACATGGCAGCAAAGACAGGCAGCCAGAAACTGGCTGGAGGTGTCTAATATAGACAGTTACTCGGGGTACGGGTTAACCTACTATCAAGGTAGGACGGGATGGAGAGGGGATGGTATGGGGATTCAACAACTGGCCTGAGATGCCAGGCCCCCCTCTTCCCCTGACAGGACTAGGGGGATCAGACAGAACCAAGACTCTTGGAGACGGGGAGGAGAAGGATGACACAGCCCCCCAGTTCCAAGGTCTCTGCATGAAGAGAGGCGGCAGGGCATGAGGCACAGCAATGACCTCACTAAGGCAAGAATCTGCTGGCTCCCCGTGAGTTTAAGAGAATATTCTCTAGCCTCAGAGTCATGGACTACCTGTTAAACAGACACAGTTGCACAGAGCTGTCCCTCAGCTCCACGAATAGCAGGATACTGTCGGAAAAGGTGGTGGTAAGAACAAGGAAGAAATCTCCTTTGAAGAAGAATCTGAAATTCATTTGATAAGTCTTCATATTTAGAAAAACAAGCTGAATACATTTCAAACGGCAAAACAGTAATAGTCATTACAGCCCGGCAGTGAGTAGGTCCCGCCAAGGAAGGAGTTCTGCTCTTTCAGCCCCGTGACTGCCCCTCTGTTTAACAAAAGGGGTAAAGATTACCCCCTGTCCCACTCTCTCCGTTCCTTCAGCCTTAAGAAATTCATCAGGAGAGGAGGAGGTAAAGTTGAGCTGCTCCTGGGAGAGCAAGCACCACACTTCCGTTTCTCAAATACCAGGGCTCTTCTGAGGGAACCGTATGAACAGGCATCTCTTTGACACATCTGCGGTTTTGATCTGAAACTGTCTGGCTTGAAACTGTGTGCTATTTTTCTTTTCCTTTTTCAAGGGGGAAAAAAAAAAGGCTGGAGGTGGTTAGACACCCTTACCCCAAAAAAACTTTTACAAAGATTGCAGGGGTCTTCTTCCAGAGAGAAAGTTAAGGTGGGGATAGTGTGCCAGCCAATCTGTCCTGAGGAAAGTAAGAGTCCAGCTCCTGGTAAAAGGTACATGACAGGGAAGAAAACCACCAAGTCCAGCAATCGCACTCCCAACAGGAAGAATGGGGGTTTAAAAACAACTCAGTTCTGGAAGTCAAGGCTGGCCAGCTGGAAACTTGCGCCACTCAGCTCAGGAGTGGAGAGGGTGCTGCTGTTCTCAACCAGCCGAGGCACTAATGCCCATTCATGAGGAAGGGGAAGTAGAAGACGTTCTTCTTCAGGAAGGAGACGGAGAGCTCCCCTAGCCTCCGTTACACCCCTTTTCTGATGACCAAGAAAAAGAAAAATCAGCATTGCTGGGTCAAGGGTTGACATCTTGGGATCACAGAGATGGCAGAATCTTGTTCCAGGTCTTCTGAGGATTTCTGCTCACTGAAAAGAAAAAGGGTGTAAAAGTTAAGGATGTGGAGTATGAGGTAAGGAGGTAGGAAAGGAATTCAAGTGAATTTCCACCTAGTTGGCAGAGTTAAGAAGTTTTCTTCTAGTTCAGCTTCAACTTCCAAGTTACAAGGCACCAAAAACACAAAATTTTAATATTTAGGCGGCACTCAGTCCCCTAACCTTGCCAATCAATCCCTTGCTCTACTCCATCAGTGATGCTCCCTATACTCTTTAAAGTGTTGCACACCTCCCCCACATTCCAGACACTCACGTGGATGAACTCTGACTCTGTAACTTCAGGCTTTTCCAAGAGGGTTGAGCTAACAGGAGAGAAAGAAAGAAAAAAAAAAAGGCAGAGAGAAGAATTAGTAAATAAAAAAGAAAAAGGACTTTCAAGTCAAATCTCATACTGCTTCTTCATATTTCATTCAGAATCAATTTAGGATTCAGAAAGAAGAGGTTAAGAAGCTATTAGATTTGGAAGCACGCTGTTTTAACTATTTAGTTTCTTGACTTCTATGAAATACTTCCCAACACCCTCTTCTCGCGTCTTCAATCCCCACCTGTGGTAGGCACCCAGTGATCACTGCCGCCTGGTAGTCATGTCATAGTGTAATTTTCTCCTCTTGAGTTTAGTAACTTTCTTTTAGTGAAGAGAATGCAGCACAGGTGATGGGAAGTCAACTTTTGAGATTAGGTTACAAAAAGACGACAGTTTCCTCTTGGACACATATGCTTTCACTTGGTGGCTGTGAGGAAGCTAGCTGCCATGCTGTGAGCTGCCTTATGGAGAGGATCATGTGACACGAAATGTAGGGAGTAACACAGGCCAGCAGCCAACAACAGTCTATAAGAGAATGAATCCTGCCAACAACCACACAAGTAAGCATGGAAGCGCATCCTCCCCTGGGCAAGCCTTCAGGGGTTAACAGCTTGACTGTAACCTCCTACGACTTTGAGCCAAAGGCACCCAGCTAAGTCACACCCAGATTCTTTTTTTAAATATATATATTTTTACTGAAGTATAGTCAGTTTATAATGTGTCAATTTCTGCTGTACAGCATAATGCTTCAGTCACACATGAATGCACATTTTTTGTTTTCATATTCTTTTTCACCCTAAGTTACTACAAGATATTGAGTACAGTTCCCTGTGCTAGACATCATGAACTTGTTTATCTATCTTATATATATTAGTTAGTATTTGCAAATCTCGAACTCTCAATTTATCCCTTTCCACCTTTTTGCCCCCTTGGTAACCGTAAGTTTGTTTTCTATGTCTTTGAGTCTTGTTTCTGTTTTGTAAGTAAGTTTGTCTTTTTTTTTTTAGATTCCACATGAGTGAATATGGTATTTTTTTTTCTCTTTCTAGCTTACTACACACCCAGATTCTTGAGCTACATAAAATCTGAGATAATGTTTGTTGTTTTTAGCTACTAAATTTTAGAATAATTTGTCACACAATAATAGATAACATAGATTTTTGTACCTGCAAGTAAAGTGTTGCTGTAATAAAAATCTAAAATGTGAAAGTGCTCTGGAAGAGGGGAGCAGGCTTGAGGAGGGTTCTAGTGCAAGTTTAAAAGCGTCCTGAATATACTATAGAATCTTGCACTTTAAGAGGTTTCCCAGTGAGGGCTTAAAGGAAAGTGAGAAAAATCTTATGGGACATTGAAGAAAGAGGATCCCTGCAATGCAGTGGAACAAAGTTCAGCAACAATGTCATATGCAGGTATGTGGAAAGTATGTGCCTAAGGAACTTGGTGATCTAGTTAGGATTTCTAAAGCAAGTGCTGAAGGTGCCACCTGGCTTCTTCTTAATGCTTATAGTAAAATATGAGAGAAGAAAAGTAAATTAAGGAACAGACTACTAAACAAAAAGAAGCCGCAACTTGATGGGTTTTGAAAATTCTAAACCTCTCCAAATAATGCTAAAATTAAGAAATGGATAAAATCTATGGCACTGCCAGGAAAATGTAGTCTACAGATGAAGCCAAAGCTATGACTGTAAAACATTTTTTTAAAAACCGAAAGTACTATTCATTCATACAAAAGGCCATTCAAAAGACTAAGGGTATGTCTCTCAGATCCTCTCACGTTAACAGGATCTTTAAGAAGCACAGGGCTTATCAAGAAGGTATTTGTGGGTATGGTTTTTGTCTAATAGAATGAATCCCAATGAGATTCACAGGAGGCCCATAAAATCTTGGCAAGTATTGTAAGACCAGAAACACTACAGCTTGGACTAAAAGGAACAGAAACAGTACACAATTAAGAGAGACCACTGGATCCCCAAAACTCTGCTGGCAAGAAGCAGGCTGAGAAAACTACTCAGCTGCAAACACATTCTAGCTTTCATGAAAAAGGAAGACTCAGAAGGCAAAACCAAGAGTCCACAAGGCAGAGCCAAGAGCCATGAATCATTCTCATGCTTTGAGATCTGATCAAAGAAACTCCAACATTTGCTGGATTTTAGACTAGCTACGGTCAGTGACTCCCCCGTGCCTCCCACTCTCTCTTTTTTGTACAGGAATGTGTGAAGTGGTTGTCTAATGTTTGTCTCACCAACGTATGCTGGGTGTGTGGGGAAAAGACAGCTTGTCTCTTAGTTTCAGAAGCCTACAGTGATCCCTGCTTCCTGACATTCACACTCTTGGGTAATGCCTTCCTCTTGACTGTGGGGCTGATTTAGTAGAATGCAGTACAGGTGACAGAATGTCAATTCTGAGATGTCGTTACAAAAAGACTGTGGCTTCTGCTTAGGTGCAGGCACTCTCACTTGCTCACTCTGAGAGAAGCCAGCTGCCATGTTCTGAGTTATCCTACGGAGAGGCTCATTTGGCAAAGAGCTGAGGGAGGCCCTAGACAACAGCCAGCAAGAAACCAAGGCCCTCGGTACAGCAACCCACCAGGAAATGAATCAATAACCACATGTATGAGCTTAGAAGTGAAGCCTCTCAGTTAAGCCTTCAGGTGGGACCTAGCCCTGGCCAACGGCTTGACCACCACTTCATGAAAGACCTTGAGCCAGAAAACCCAGGTAAGCTGTACCTGGATTTCTAACTCACAGAAACTACAATATATGTTTGTTATTTTAAGTCACTTAAGTTTTGGGGTAATTTATTATAATGTAATAGATGATTAACATACCAAGTAGCAAAATTAAATCACAATCTTTACACTGGATCCTTTTGAAAGGCTGACTGTTCATTGTCTTCACTGCCTATGAATCTTTCTAGCCTTAAATCCTAATCTAAGAATTCTCACTTTACTCACCAGGAAAATGAAGGGTTAGCTGGGGTATTCTGACTAAATGTCAGAAAAAGTGTGTACACAAAGGCTTCCCACCACCCCCTGAAAGTGCAGAGATGTCGATCCATCTCTGGATATATTTAGTTCCAAATCACTAAAGATGAGCTCTTAGGAAGGTGAACATCCAAAACTCTAGTAAAGAGCAAAAAGACAAACAATGATCTCTAGAAAAAAAAACAGAATTGCGGAGGTTCTCAAGGACCTGAACAGAGAGATGAGAAGACTATGTGGAGAAAGAGGCCAAGGAACCAACCTTGCAGTTAGCACCTGCAAAGCCTCTCCAGCTGCAGGTGAGGAATAGGGGTCGGGGACAGTCGAGACCTCACTGATTTTCTCCAAAGGTGGAGTCTGAGGTAAAACATCAGGACGACCGAAGTGGACGCCTGGAAAAAAGAAAGGGGAAGAAAATCAATAAATAAAAAAGAAGAGAAAATGGGGTGGGGGAAATATAGGGGAAAAAAATGTAGCAACTTGGCTTTTCCTGGACAGGAATGGGGAGAAGAGGTCCTAGGCAGACAAGGTAAGGGCTCAGAAGGAAGGGAGGGAGTGCCCCATCACATGGGGACCCCAGCCCCGGCGCTGACCTGGCTCCACTTCCGCCTTTGTTGTCACTTGTGCCTTGTGTTCCCCAGAGACCGATGGCTGGTAAGTTACGCAGGAGTTGCCGCTGGGGCCTGCTCGCCGTGAGAAAGATGAGCCAGACCGAAACTTTTTGGAAGGAGAGGGCTTCACTTCAAAAGGGAAAGAGAAAGCCTCCTTAGCACCCACCTCAGAAACCGTCACCAAGACATAGGTACGGCTCGCTAGCGTCCCCAGCACAAACCCCAAGCTGTTCTTCTGCAAAGCAGGAAAAAGGGTTAATGTCAACAGAGATGGGCTCTATGCGCTACTCTTCAGAGGGGGCATCTCAGTTCACTTCACTTCGCAAAGCAGCAGAGAATCTAGAGGAAAAGAGACACATACATCTCTCTCCCCTCCTACACTCAACCTCGACGGCTTTGCTTCCACCTGATGAAATGCCCCTACCCTCTCTGCCTCACCAAGGGACGACTGATGCCTGTGATGAGGAGATGGGAAGGAGGAGCTGGAATCTGCCAGTGGCAGCAGCATGGAAGGTTTCGAAAGAAGAACACTGGCACTTCCCAACTGAGAAAGTTGAGGGAAGAGACCAAGAACACCTGCTAAGCAGAAATGAGTAAATGCTTCTCCAACCTTCTGATCCTAATCTGAGAACTCCTTGGCACTGGGGACACGGACAAAAAACGGAACACTGGTAATATCCTTGCCTATCTCTGTCCATAAATGCCTGGCTTTGCCTATCTCAGCTTGTAGCATGGATCCTACACCCACAACTACACATTTTTGCAATCCTGCCAATTTCTCAGAAATGCCCCTCACCTCAATGACATATGTAGGGATTGCCAGGGAGGAAAAGCAGCAACTTGGAAACGACTGGGACAGACAGAGTGACTGACATAAGGATGGGCAGCAGTTCTCACGCGATGTGGGTAGAGCAGGAGAAGCCTCTGGCTTTGGCAGTTCCCTGACAGAGGTGTCCTGCCCCTCATCTCTTGAAGTAAGGGGGTCATTAGGGGTCATCTGGCAGAAGCCACTTACAAGGGATCTTCTTGAAAACTGTATTGCACATGAAGCGCTGGAACCGTTCAGCATAGAAGCCTGGGCGATGCACCGATACGGTGTCCTGCAGAGCAAAAGAGACGGCTGCAGAGTTAGGGAGGGGCGCCCAGCAAGAGGACTTCTAGTCCAGGGGCCTTACCCACAAATGAAATAACCCATAAGAGGAAACAGGGGCAAATCAGAAGGGAGGGAGGCAGAAAGGGGAGAGCGTCTAGTTGGCTGCTACTCACCCCATCATGTACCAAAGCTTTCCAAGAGTGCTCCAACTTCTTAACAAACCTGCCGAGAACAATGTGTATCATGCATTCACATAGGTTTTAAATAAATGACCTTACTGTTTTCTGGTTCAGGTAGTTAAAAAGGCAATCATAACAGAAAAACTTAAAAACAGCAGCTGGGAAAGCACTCCCACTGTTAGACTGGCTTTCCAAGGAACAGACATCGCAGTGCTTATTCAGCATGGAGAACAGAGATGCTTCTAGATGAATCAATTATCTCCCTGTGGGAAAAGGGTAGTTAATATGTCCCTGGCAAGTCAGGGACAAGAGTATTTATCATAAAAAGAGAGCTGCAAGGACAGATGGGCAAGCCTGAATGGTGAACCTTAAAACTGGATGATAAAACTTGGAATCAGTACATCAAGTATTGTCCAGTCCTCGTTAGTACCTGAAAACTTACAGGAACAAAACTGGGGTCTAACACTTCAAGTTTCTCCCCCCTCCAACCCCTTCACTGCCTCTTAGTGCCACAGGCTAATACTCTTCACAGAACACAATGACCCTCTTGTTTTTCCTCCATGGAAAAAAGGAACGTGTTTCCAACTGTATCCCAACGTGGAGTATGACTCATCTCACAGGTTTTTCACAAAGAGCCAGACAGATGGGGTATTTTACCTAGCTCAGACTTGCGAGGACTGACTCAGCTTTCCACAGAGGTATATGCTATGCCTGGGGAGGTGGTGGGGTAAGGAAGCCAAGAGACAGGTGAAATCAAGGAAATAACCACCATTTGAAACCCAATGAGGCAAGCAGCCAGACTGCAATCATTTCTTACTGCAGGAAGGATCTGGTGACAAAGCCACCTGAAAGAGCAGTGTGAGTAGTTACCTACAGCTGCCCTGCCCCTGGGCCCATAAGCTCCTCACCTGTAAGACTGCAGGATGTCGATGATGCCAATATAAAGCAGCAGCCTCTCCCCTTTACTGTTCCGGGCCGGGATGCCACCCATGCTGGGGTAGAGAAAGAGAGTAGGAAAGCCTTTTGGCTAGCAGGCAGAGGCTTCGGCTAACCTCTAATCAAATCAGGACAAGTAACTGAAACCTAAACGTAACTGTTCCAATCTTCCATAAACTGGGGAAGAAGGAGAGCCTTCCCCTAACCCCAAGAACCACTTTGGAGTACATATTATAACCTCTTTTTCTCCAAATCTCACTTGCCTGCCTCTCCCACCCCAACACCACCAGACAGAATCTAAAAATCACCCCTACTCAGCAATTTTAGGAACACTCTCCCATTAATTAAATTTTCTTGGTACTTTTGTATTTTAATTTAGGCACACTAAGACATTCTTCTTGAGAGTCATGGTAAACAATACCTTAATATGAAACCATCTAACATTTGCTGAGCCCTGTTCTATTTTATTTTTTAAACTTTTTTAGAGGGGGGAAGTAATTAGGTTTATTTATTTATTATTTAAACGGAGCTACTAAGGATTGAACCAAGGACCTCATGTATGCTAAGCATGTGCTCTACCACTTCAGCTATACCCTCCCCCTAACATGAAACCATCTAAGAGACATTTATAATGCTTCAGCAACTACATTTCCTTGATTCATGATGGTAAGAAAGATGCCGGCCACCCCTCTCTCCCCCTCTTCGGAGACGGCCCACATTCTGTCTATGGAGTGTGTACCTACTTTTAATCTGAGCACCCAACCCCTACATCTCGTGGCCTTTCTCTTGCCTTTCAATGTATCTCTCTGAATAAATCTACCTCCACTCAAAAAAAAAAAAAAAAAAGAAAAAAAGAAAGATGCCCTTCTATAAAGAAGTCTACAATAAACTGTTTTTGATGAAGTCCTAACATAATTTGCAGACATGTGTCTAAGACTCTTAATGCACATTTTTTTCAGTCTCTTCCTTCTGAATAGTTCTCCTTCCCAGATGTACAAATCCCAAAGTTAACGCATCTTCCTTTCCTTTTAGGTCTGTAAGCATTAATGTTGTTGACGTAACTGCTGAATCAAGGCTACTTCTTCCCCAAAGCTGCATCCCTCCCTCAAGAGAAAATGCTCTGAGCTTATGCTCTCCTTCCTGGTGCCCCGAGTCCACTCACTGGTCATCAGTCTCCACGGTGCCACCTCGTCGAGCCTCGCCCTGAATAGATTCCATGGCTGTGGAGTAGAGAGCCTTTTGGGGGGCCGGTCTGCGAGTGTCAACTGAGTGCTGTGACTCATTGCCCAGAGGCTCTCGCTGCGCATGATCTATGTTATGGATGGACACCAGGAGGCTATAGTCCATTATCTTGAAGCTCTGCAGCACCTAGTAGAAAGAAGAAACGCAACCTGAGCCTTGGGAGGTCTGAGAGTCTGTCTTGAGGCTCTCACAGCTTTCCTGATCTAATTTTTCTCAATAATGAACTTTCAGAGTTAACCACAGGATTAGCCTTTGCTCTTCCTGCTCCCTGGAGAACAGCATATTAACCTCCTGTGGTCACCCTTCACTGATACCCTTCACTTTCTTTCACTGGAGTAAATACAAATTAGGCCACTGCCTAGCCCACAGGCTCCTCTTTGTTTATTCCTTCCTTGTATTTCTTCATGGAACAAAGAATACATATTTGTGCTCTGAAGAATCCACAAGGAGGGGCTGGTAAAAGCACACTCTGTGGCACAGCAGATGTTGCAGGATCTTATATGGCCAGCTCCAATTCAGTTCAATATTTGCTGAATTCCCATCATTTGTAGGCATTCTGCCTGCTTTTGGGGATACAAAGATAATTAAGAGAGCTTCTGTCCTCAAGGATATTATAATGTAGGAAGGGAAACAAACATAAAAATAAATAAATACCGTCTAATATGTGTAACAATAGAAGTGCCTACATGCTGGAGGAAAAGCACAGAGGAGGTAAGGAAGTGATACATAAATTTATGAGGGCTAGATTAGAGAGAAAATATAAAAGAAGGAAAGACTAATGCCAAGGCCTGGATGCATGAAAAGCAGGCTATGTGCAGGGAGGTATAATTTGGTGTTGCTAGACCATGAAATGCAAAGGGTACGTGTTTGGCACATTAGAGAGAAGAGTAGGGACAAGACAATGACAGGCCTGATGGCACATTAAGGAGCCTGGGCTGTCTCCTACAGCGCTCAACCCAGTGCGCTCCCACCAGTTCTAGTACCTTACTTTGGTGGTGCAGCTCAACCAAGGGTGTTTTGGTAGATGGGTAGAGTAAGGGATAAAGAGAGCAAAGGACTGATTCTTTTTTTTTTCCTCCAGACTGATTCTTATGTTTAGTTTGAAAAACTCCTCTGCTCCACTAAGTCTGTAGGTCTCACAACCAAACGAGTCCACCTGAAACAGGCATTATCCCGGAAGCAGATGCACAGTGAGCAAAGAAGGCAAGGATGGACAACATTATGGATTGAGTAGAAGATGACAAAAGCAGTTTGGAAAAAAAAAATCAAGGATGTGGAAAAATAAGCACAGAAAGAGGTCAAAAAAGCCAAAAGATGTTAAGAAATGAAAATAATCAACTGTCAAACACTGCAGAAAATTCAAGGAAGGACTGAGAAGTACTCTGTATTTGGCATCTAGGTGGTCATTAGAGACAGTAGTTCAACTGAAGTGGTGAGAGCAAAAGCCAGGACACAGTGGGCTGAGGCAGGAACAGGAAAAGAGAAAGGAAAAGGAGAAATGGAGGTATCATTAGACGGAGACATTGAAAAAAATCCTCCTAATCATAAAATAAAAAAGAGATAAACTTGTTTGTATGTAGACAGAAAACAGTAGAGGTTAAAGCCTGAGGAAGGAAAGGAAGTAAGCGGTGAAGCAGGATCCTAAAGGAAGAGGGAGAAATGGATCTAGGTCACAAAAAAGACTGACCTGGAATAAGCCACCAAGTTGGGAAGAAATTAGATTAAGGATGCTTAATGTAGAACCATTTATAAATTGGAGATAAGGGTAGCACAAAGCGACAGCACAGGATAGAAAGTTGAGATAATCTGTTGAGAAACAAGGCTTGGGGGGTGGGAGTTAGAAAACTGTTCAAAGAGAGTGCCAATCATCTGAAGTCTCTCGGAGGGGCTGATGAACAACAAGGGGAGTCCAGGCTGGTTATCAGAAATCTGTAGAGACGCCAGGACACACAGCTGTGTGATTTTCTTCAGTAGCACTTACCTTCCAAGATATAAATTTCAATTAGGCAGTCAGGACCAAAAACTGAGGAATTATGGTGCTGGTAAGAAAATAAGGGGAATGTGTGATTTTGAGGCCCAGGACAGGTAGGAAAAAAAAAAATGAAGACAGGTAGGGAAGAATAAACAGGGAGAAAGTAAAAATATAAAGGCATAGCAAGGATCTAAAGTAAAAGTTATTTTAAATGAAGTCTGCGACATATGAAGCTAAGGAGTCCCATCTCCCACAGATTAGATGCCCAAGAACAGCAAAGCTGTTTTAGTAACTGAGATGTCTTGTGCCTGAGAGAGAAGGAAATATGACAAACTCACCAAACAGTCGCGCTGCAAGGTCTTGCACAGAGCATTGTACATGTCAGCATCCAAAAAGAGCCCGTCAGGGATGTCTTGTAAGAAGTCCAGGTCTTTAAGGGTGGGGAGAGGCTTATCTCGCTCTTTTTGGGAAGCCCGCCGTTTGTAGGTTGAGCCCTTGAGGTCATATTTGATGTGCATCTTGACTGACCGTGGTAGAAGATTGTTCATCACCACAATCCGAATGTTCTTACCACCTGCCTGCACACAGTACAGTCCATAGAATTTAGGCAGCAAAGTCCGAGGGTTCTGGTTGAGGTTCTGAGGGCAAGAAAGTACAAAGAAGTAGGAGAGCAAGTTAGTTTATTTTCAGTGAAACTCAAGGGCCAAAGCTGCCACCTACCTTTGTCTGCTACAGGGGATTCAGGTACAATCTGCCTGCCCATAAGCCCACAACATATTTGTTTAAAATTTCCCAATGCGTCTATCTCAGTAATGAGATCACCACCAAGCAACTGACCTTCCAATATAGTCATCAGTCAGAATGCTATACATACGATGAATATACTCCTTCAGAGAGGTTTAAAACAGCACTGAAGAAGTCTTAACCCTTAGCCTTCTGTATAATATATTCTTGCAGGTATTAAGGGAGGCAAAGGAGAGTTCCCTAACTTCTCCAGAACCTCCAAAAGATCTCAGTCAGAGTAAGAATGAATACAGAACTATCAAGGGAAGTAACCAACCTCATTCCCTAATCTAGAAGCTGGACTAAGAATGGAAAACAAAAACGTCACTGAATCCTGCCTTTGCGTAGGAGGGTCTAAGCCAAATAACACTTAAAATAGAAGCGATAAACAAAACCCCCTTTAGCCACAGAGAGAAAAAGATGGGGCCAAACACACAAAAATGAACTATGTCCCTAAGACAGAAGTGCTGACATTGTTTGCCCCGCGAGGACAGCCGCCCCAGCTTTGCCCAGGAGCAGAGTGGACAGCACAGGCGGCCACTGCTCCTCTTCCACTCACCATGTAGTAGCCTGGAAGCAGCTTCTGCAGAAACTCTGCCTCTTTGTGCTGGACTGTTTTAATGATGAATTCGTCATCACTGGACACGTAGAAGAGGGAACCACTAGCCCCAGAGTTGCAGAGTTCAATCAGTGGCTCACTGCAGAGAGAGTACTAGGGCCCAGAGAGAAGAGAGCAAAAGGTTCAGAGATACCAGGGTGTGCCCAGCCAGCAATCAACTACAGACACAGTTCTATTCTAAAGAAAAACTAGAGCAAGAGCATGCAGAGAGGGTCTTCCTTTGGAAGCATCCCTCTGATACTGGAGTCCCAGGGTCCTGGGATCCAGACGCTTACCAAGTAATCATCAGGCCGTATACCAAACAACTCTCGAAAGTAGCGGAAGGCAACAGGTGCATAGGTCTTGAACCGAAAGTCATTGTAGTGATGAGCAGGGGTCAGGTTGCTCCCTTCACTGCGGGGTTAAATAGAAGAAGCCAAAACTTACCAATCCCTGTCATCTACGTAGTCCACACGCTGGGAAGACACTCAGTCACCCAGAAGGAGGTCAATATATCCCTCCTGAGAGAACCAGAGGGACTGGATGAGTCAGGTACATAAATGGACAAAGGCACAATGTGGGAATTAAGACACGGGCACAGTGAATCATATACCTGCTACTTAATGCACTGAATTGTTTTTTAGGGCTCAGTCCACAGGCCAGAAGCTCATGGAAGCATCCAAAGGACAGCATCTGCTCTCCAAATTCTGCAGTCCCACATCACCCTGATTAAAATCAGGTTTAGGACTAGATGCATGCCTTATTAGACATGAACCCCTAAAAGGCCCTGATGTTGATATGAAAAAGCCTCATTTTCCCAGGACATTCCCCTGAACATTAACCTCTTACCTTGGAAAGAAGATACTCTCTACCACATAGAAGTCTTGCATGAGGACATCCCGCTCTGGTTTGGTACTCAGGCTCCCCACAGTGTGAGTAATGCCTAACTGGATGGCACCTTTTAGGGCTGATGAGGTTGTCTGAGAAACCAGAGAAACAAGTTTCTAGTATTAAATCTGATCACAGCAATAAAAACTCGGGAGAAAAGAACCAGGAGCCCGGGAAAGCAAATGCTCTCCTAGTAGTTCAGACTGAACTGGGGCGATCCAGTCTCCCCATCTCAATGCTTCACATGGCAGTTAGGCCTGCAAAGAATACAAGGCCATGAAGATATCCAGTAACCAAGGTGGGACTGTCTGAGCCAGCCCTGGCTAGGCAGGAGTTCCCTCCTAATCCTATCTATATTTGGAAGATACATTGTATTAACAGAATAATCTTAGGTCTCACTCCAAGGGTTACTGCCCCTAGAGTATCTGGGGCCCTCCAAACATTTTATTCATCTGATATAGAATGTAACTAAAATTAACTGATGTTCCTATGGCTACTGAAGCTTCAGTCCTCTAAGGCAGGGCCTGAATGGTGTTACAAGGACAACAGGGTGGCAAAAAAGGTTCTTTTTTCTATTGTTTTTTTTGAAGGTTAATTTTTGCTTTTATTTGCCAGTATAACTTAACTATAGTGGCTTGCAAACTTTTTGACCTAAGAAATACATTTTACATCACAATCCAACAAACACACACATACATATGTATATAACCGAAATCAAAGTTTTGCCCAAAATGTCTACCCTGAGTTTTCTTGTTTTTAAGACTTGTGTGTGTGTGTTTTTTTTTTTTTTTTTGAGCAGTTTTAGGTTTACAACAAAATTGACAGGAAGGTACGGAAATTTCCCATATACTTCCTCTCCATACATATATATAGTTGTTATTTTCATTTACCAGAGTGGTACTTTTTCTTTTTTTTAACTAAGAATGAACGTACTTTGACAAATCATAATCACCAAAGTCCACAGTTCACTTTAGTTTGGACAAAAGTACAATGACAGATATCCATCGTTATAATGTCATACGGAGTATTTTCACTCCTCTAAAAAACTTCACTACTCCAGAATGGCATATGGAATCTCTTTTCCCTTGAAGAGAGGTTCAAAGCCTTCATGTCTATAACAGGACTCATGGCAGACCCATGCATGGACCAGACAGGCTCTAAGTGGAAAATTCCCCCACTAAATACAGTGGCTTTTCTTCCAACATTGAGCCCTGTCCTACTGGTTCTGCCCAACAGCCATGTGGAGTGGAGGTGCAGGGGGAAACGTGTAGTGTGTATGTTCATAGGAAGGCCCTAAGTTTTGTACCTTGTCACAATGAAGCTAGATTCCTGTTGGGTGTGTTGTGAACAGAGAGAAAAAAAAATTCTAACTGAAGAAGAAAGCCTGAAAGGCTCAAATTATTTCTGAGAGAAGTATTTAGATTTAAAATGATCATACTATGGTTAAAACAAAAATATAAAAGCCCTACTCTTACAATCCAAGGTTCCAGTATCATGGAAAAATGTCATATTAGCTGGATCCGTGCTGTTCAATATAGTAGCTACTAGTCACATTTGGCTATTTAATTTTAAGTTAATCAAAATTAAATTGGGGAATAAGGATAGCTCAGTGGTATAGGACATGCTTTGCATTCACGAGGTCATGGGTTCAATCCCCAGGACCTCCATTAAAAATGTTTTTTTAATTTAATTTAAAATACACTTCTTCAGTCTTACTAGCCATAGTCAGGTATGGTTTAGTGGCTGCCACACTGGATAACACAGATATAGCACATTTCAAACACAGTAGAAAGTTCTATTGCACAGTTTTGCTCTAAGTGATTTCCTTTACTCCAACCCTCACTGGATATTACTTGTATTTCTACTTACAATTTAATTGGGCATTAAAATTATAAATATTTTTTAAGTGATTACCTCTCCAAATAGGTTAGAAACTCATCTGTTTTTGTTTGTTTGTTTCAATGTTTAGCACATAAAAAGAACTCAATAAATGTCTGTTGAATTGACATGGGCCTCAGAGCCCATTCCCGGGAAGAGTCAGGTCCCTGACTGCGAATGAGTCAGTCCACTTCTATTACTCAAGATAATGCAATAAAGGCAGAGAACAGACACAAGAAAAATTTACGTGGGCCAAGCAAGGTACAGATGCCAAATAAAAGGCTGAATGCTGTCCCCTGGGAAACCTAAACATCTCCAAATTAGTCCAGAACTGAAGAATCAGATCACCCAAGGATGCTTCTCTCCTGCTTTCCCTTCACCAGTTCAATTTTCTCTTCTTGGCTATTACTACTACTATCTTTCCAATCCATTCGATATCTATAGCTCAAAATCAGGTGTTCTAGGTCCTATTCACCAACTGAAATTACAATCTTAAAAAAAAAGCCAAAAGCCAAAACATACACAAAGAAGAAATAAAGAAAAACACTTCAGCTGTTGTCTATCTCTGTATCACCAGGCTGAATGGGATCCAGCCTTCACTTTATGTATATACATCCAGCCCCAGACAAAGACAGAAAAACTTCAAGAGTCATGGTTCCCTAAAGCTAGGTAAGAATGGCCTTGGAGGCTTGTTACATGTTTATACCTAACAAGGAAACACAGTTTCTTCAGCTCAGTGAAACAGCATCCAGCACCAGATTTGTCCATTAAGAACATTCCCATGTAAACACACGTACAGATGGAAGATAATTCACCCTTTGTGAAGCAAATTCTAAAGTTCAAGTTGCACGATGGCAACAGTTTAAGATATCAAGAAATGGGACAGAATGTGGAGAAAAATATCAAAGGGACAGAACTCCTTCCTGGAGTTAGAGGGTAGGGTTCCACCCAAACACACCTTTTTATATGTTGTCTCTCCCGAGGAATCAACACCTCGGTGGCCTATTTTCTTCATGGTCATGCCAGAGGCATAAGGCACCTAGAAAACAGTAGAGTCAAGATTAGTATATGATTCCCATTAAAACATCAAACAGCTTACTTAATGGTACATCAAAATATACCAAAACACTCAACACATCCTTTTTAGGTTAAGAATATTTTATAAAATCTTCAGAAGATCCACCCTCTGCAAACACAGCTATATGGTGTTACCTCCCAAAGAATCAACTGGCTACAAGACACAGAAGAAAACTCCGAAGGACACATTTCACCTTTGGTCCTCAGAAATATGACATGGAAAATAAAAATGAGTATTACTAGAGAAAAGTAGAAACAGGGGAAGTAGGAAACAGCAGCCCCAGAAAAAAGGACAGCCCCTCAGTTTACAAAAGCAAGACAGAAGTAATGCGCAGCAGACCCAGCTTCTTTTTAGAGACTACTAGCCCTCTAACCTTCAATGCAACATGAACACTATCTGCTCAAACTGAAATGCACCAGCAGAAATGACTGAGCCACTGGCAAATGCAAGTACTGTGAGCCCGGATACGAAAAGGCTGAGGTAATAAGATGAATCCTCTAAGATAGGGGTCTCACTGACTTGAAGAGATTCCTGAGAATGTGATGTGGCTTTGTTTTCTACTCACATGACAGCCTCTGAAAAACAGAAGGAATAAAACCAATGGGGCAGAACCTGGAAGGCTAGTCTCCACAGCCAAGACACCAGCACGACAGACATGAAGGGATTCTTCATGGTGTCAATATTCACTAATTTAATAAGCCAGAAGGCAAAAAAACTATTAGAAATAGGATGTCACGATCTTAGGGCTTGATACTTAAGCTCTGCTCTTTTTGCTAAGGTCCTGAGTGCCGGAAAACTGTCAGTATATAAACTGAACAACAAAGAAAAACTTAGGAAATCAACAGCATCAGTATGGTTAAAAGAAGTTCACCATATTACCCATGAAGCAATGCACTGGAGGCATTAACAGCAAAACAAGGAAGTGAGCTTCCGTGTCAGACTGGGTCTGAAGCCCAGCCTTAACGCCACGTATTCATTCTGAGACCTTGGGCAAGCTACAGAACCTCTAATCCTCACTTTCTACATCTGTTCAACATGAATGACAATGGTACCTACCCTCAGAGGGGCTGTTTGAAAGATAAAGTAAGAATACCTACAAAAGGCACTTAAATACATTAAAGATGCTCAGTCAATCTGAGCTATTATTAATATTCATAATAAACTGTGATAAAAGTAGAGTTGTATAATTACTAGCCTACAAAGAGATGTGAGAACCCTATCTAGATTCCAAGGCCCAAGCAGGGGGAAAACAAAGATGTCATAAACAGGTATCCTATCCCAGAATTAAAATTTTAGAACCACTGTATCAGTGTGAAACTCACCTCAGATGCCATGGGTCTCTTGATTCCAGACCCTGTTAAAAAAAAAAAAAGCAAACACAACTGTAAGTGTGTACACATACTCACACAATCTCTATCAAGCACACTGAGACAATCAGGATTTGAGTTGCACTGAACCTGACAATGAGCTCCTGCCTCTTGCTCAAGTGATACCATATCCTTTAGGATAGGGATTTTAAATGTCCCTTCTCACTCACAGAGTCCTTAGTCCGTTCTATTTATAGTCCTTTTTTCTTACAGAAGTGTTCATATTTTCTCTAGGAAATGTATCTGCTCTTGATACATTTAACCATCAGAGCCAGAGGGTCTCATTTGCTACCATGGCTGATAGAGAAAGGGCATAAGAGATATCTAAGACTTACTGGACAGTCTGGGGCTTGATTAATAATTTCTCCTGTAGAGCGAAAAGGGTAAGAACTTTTAGAGCATATCTATGGTGCTTTTCTCCTCTATTAATTACTTCAGAAAAAAGGTAAAGAGTTGGTCTATGGAAACTTTATTTATGATAGCCAAGATACCGAAGCAACCCAAATGTTCATCAACAGATGAATGGATAAAGAAGATGTGGTGTGTGTGTGTGTGTGTGTATACACATAAATAAAATATTACTCAGCCATAAAAAAAATAAAATTCTGCCATTTGAAACAACGTGGATGGATCTAGAGGGTATTACACCTAGTGAAGTAAGTCAGAGAAAGACAAATACTCTATTACTTGTATGTGGAATCTAAAAAATAAAAGAAATAAATGTATGTAACAAAACAGAAACAGACTCACAGATATAGAGAACTAGTGGTTACCAGTGGGAGAGAAAAAGGAGGAGGGGCAAGATAGGGGTGGGGAATTAAGAGACACAAACTACTACGTATAAAATAAATAAGCACCAAGGATATGTCATACAGCACAGGGAAATGTAGCCATTATTATATATTAACTTTAAATGGGAGTATAAGCTATAAAAATATTTAATCACTATGTTGTACACCTAAAATTAATGTAATACTGTAATCAACTATACTTCAATTAAAAAAAAAAAAGAGTTGGGTCTTGGGGATGTGGAGGCTAAGAACTGGAAGATGCAATGTCAAAATAATGACACAGCACTGGGTGCAGGCAGAAACTGGCTCTATGTCCCTACATTCTCATCTAGATTTCTGCTGTAAATGCAACAGGAATTTGCTGGAATTTACTTACTTACCAAAGTAACTTTGACTTGCTAAATATTTAATTAATGCAGATGTGTAAGTGTGTAGTTAAATCTCATAAATATTATTTATGACTTTTATCAGTTTAAATTTAGGAAAAATTTCAAGAATAAGCATGTTTAGAAAGTGACTAAAAGACCATTATCTATAGAAAAAATACTGAACGGTTAAATCAGTTCTTAAGGGTCTGCCATCCTGTAACCTTCATCAATGATCACACTGGAGACACATGATCACAATTCCTCAGGGAGACAGACCTTTCTCCCCTTCATATTGGAGAATGTTGGCCTTTTTTCTTCAAAGACTACTGATACATTACTTTGATCTAGTTCTAAAGAAGTCAAAGGGAATAAAGATTAGCCATGTTAAAGAAAATTAAAAAGAAGTGGTCGAATGGGATGAATCTTCAATAATATAATACCTGAGTGGGAAGACCACAGTTCCAGTCCATGTATAAGGATTAATGTAATGCAACACAGACAAGATAGGATTAAAGACAATCAGGTAAAGCTCTAATTATGATTGTTTAAGACCAATGATCAAGGGCCCTGAGAATTTCAGAATATAGCTGGGCTCAGAGGAGAGAATCTGATAGCCCTTAATAGTACAAAGGCCACAGACTAAGCATTTTTGGTATCAACAAGCACAGCAGTAAAATTTCCTTCCCCCTCTAGAGTCTGAGCAGCAAAATTATGGGGAACAGATGGTTTTCACTCCTCTTCCCAAATAAGGAGGCAAGGGAAATGTCATACAGCTGTTAAGATGTGCTACATAAAATGACCCAGAAAATTAGGGAAAAAGCAGAGTCCAATAATCCATGCGTTCTGCAGGATGCTTCATCTTCAATCATGCTGACTTCAGACAGGTGGAAGAGTGTATATTTCTGGACTGGAACCCTAAGCTAAAGCTTCCAAGGAATAAGCCAGGATGACTCAGGTTTATGATTAAAACTGCTACCAACTTACTGTAAAATTTAAGGTTTCCACTAACAAAAAAATCAGTCAAACTTTTATCTTAGAACCTTTTAGCTGACAGTCAACATTCTGAGCTATTTAAAAATCAGAAGACCTGGGTTCAAATCCCTGTTACACCAGGCAAACTGTTCTCTATACTTAACTAAAAAATGAGGAACCTATATTAGGAAGTTTCTGCAAAGACTAGATGAGATAAACTAAACCAAAGTACTTCATGAACTGTGTGTGACATGCTATACAAATATGTTGTTATATGTGATTTCTAATGCAAGAGCAAAGTTGGGCCCACAGGAAGATTTAATGTTCAATAACTAGACCTTCATGAAATCCTAATTAGCGTCTCAAAATTCTTGGCTCCTCCTAAAACCCTCAGACTCTTCTTTCTCCCAACATCCCCTGTGCAAGTGCACACGCAACTACAAAATCAGTGATTCTCAATGAGGAAATCAATATGCTTTCGGTTGAGAAGATAACACTGATTCTGGACTCCTTGGTCAGTGCTCGACTTATCTCTTCCTTTTTTGTCCCAGGGGAAGGGGTCTGGAGGGATCTGGTAGAACCAAGAGCCAAGTCCAGTCCTAGGCTGACAGTCTATTCTAGAAAATAACCTCCTCTGCATGCTAGGAAGGAGTCACTGGACAAAGTAAACAACGGAGGAAAAAAAGCAGGTAAGTGATTTCAAAGCAGAGAGTAGGTCTGAGGCTTTTCTTACTCCCTAAAAAGTTCTACTTTGCTACCTTTCCTAGTTTTATCACACAAACATGTAGCTCTAGGGCTGCTATAATCTTGCAAAGTACCCAGCATGAAGGTGGGAGGACTTCACTCAGTGGAATATTGTGCCAACTGCTTAGCTATCTGCAACTGCAAAGCTTGGATTCATCCCAAGAACACTACAGCTGAAACAGTTAGAATGCTGGGGTCTACGTAACAATAATCAGAGCAAGTAACACAGGGAGGAGAATCAGGACCCAAGACTCAACCCTCTTCCTTGTCTGAAGTTTTGCCCCCAGGGCACAGACCACAGCTCTAACCTATCAAAGAAGATTAAAAGGGAAGAGAAAAATATCTAGAGAATTTGATCAATGTTACTGTTAACACCCAACTTGGTCCAGAAACCCAATGAAGAGCAGAGCGACATTTCAGGGAACCAGGTACCACCTGCTAAGGCTTAAGCTCTGCCAATGAGAAACCACACCCTGAGACTGAAGAGTCACTAGCACCCGTACCTGTTCACCTCACAATCAAGCTTTTTCTTCAGTAGGAAGAGGAGTGGAAATGGAAGAGGAGGAGAAATGGGGGGGGGGGGGAGAAAGACAGATCAACTTAACATGGCAACACCCAGCTTAGTAATGCCTGCCAGCCCATGTTTTAGGAGAATGAGATTCATCCCTATGGATAAGATTAGAATATTATTCAACAGAAAGTTTTCTAGCATCTGCGTGAAAAACACTCTCTGATACTATACTATCATCTTCTTAATCCATATCCATGATCCAAATATATCATCCTCTTTTTTAGGCAGGGAAATTGAGTACAGGGCAGGATTTCAATGTTAAATTTACTCTTCCTCAGGGAAAAACGTTTCTCCTGAGGAATGTGGGAGCTGTTTCTCCCCATCTTAGCTAAAACTCAGAAGGATTATCATTTAAATGCCTACATTACCATTGGTCCACACTAGGAAATGTGGCACGTGCAAGAGAGGACAGCACACTACCTAAAGGTAGGTGTAGAGGCTGACAGCTTGGCTATAAGTGCCATAGGAAAAGTCCTAAACCAGCTTCTCCTCATTGGTTCAATTGTAACACATCTCAGCACCAGTTCAATGCTGAATTATTTTTGCTCCACATCCCCTTCATTTATTCAACAAATATTTATTGATCATCTGTTATATGCCAAGAATTATGCTAGGCACTATGGATAGAGAGTTATATGTCTGTGACCTGGAGAAGATTACAATATTTCTACTTCTTTCTCCATGACTTGCACGTCTTCACATTCTCTTATTACTCCTTAACGCTACCTATAAGACTAAACTGAAATGCTGATGTTTTTAGAAAGGTTATTTCTCTTCACTGACCAAACAATTTATATGTGTATAGCACTTGAAAAGTTTTACAAACATATCTCATTAGGCTCTCAAAATAGTACTACAGGGTATGAGAACTGTTTGGAAGACTTAAGAGACAAAGCCAACAGTTACGTGTGAAACTTCTTTGGATACTGATTAGGAAAAAAAAAAATTTTTTTTAAGTATCTCTGAGACAGGAGCCTTGAGAGGAGAAATTAATAATTCTTATTGATTTGTAGATAGGACAATGTCACTGTGGTTATGTTACAACTCCCTCCCTTTCTTCTCTAAAATAAAATCCTTCTCTATAGAAATACATCCTGAAATATTTATGGCTAAAATCACATGAAGAGTGGGTTCACTTCAAAATACTCCAGGGGGTGGAGGTGGGGCAATGGAGAACAAATGCGACAGGACTGGCAAATGTTGCTGTTGAAGCTAGCTGATGGGTATTTGGAGGTTCATTATACTATTCTCTCTACTTTGTGTATACTGAAAAATTTTATAATTAAAAGTTCAGAAGGAAAAGAAGCAAGTCTGGATAGTCAAGCTTCTTCATCTGAGCTGGCTTCTTTCTGAGAGGTTTCCTCTGGTAAAAGTAAGCATCAAGGATGAAGTAGTTTGTTTCCCTCATGACTATGTAACTCCTACTTATCAATAGGCCCTGGACCAGTAAGCATTCTAAATAACTAGCTAATGTTGCTCTACTGGAAGCAAAAAATGAAGCCATGACAAACAGGCCGCACCAGAAAAATAATGGTTCAAAT